GCAATTCAGTGAGACCTGTTTCTAAATAAAATACAAAATAGGGCTGGGGATTTGCTCAGTGGTAGAGTGCCCCTGAGTTCAACCCCTGGTACCAAGTTTAAAAATGAATAAATAATTTTATATATATATATATATATATAAATATATATTATTACACACACACACACACACACACACACACACACAGAATTAAAATATAAGAGGCCAACACATGTGAATTTAGATGCCTGATTTTCAGAAATCCAACTCCAAAGCTAGTTTTTAAAAACTGTTGACTGGGCTGGGGATATGGCTCAAGCGGTAGCGCGCTCGCCTGGCTTGCGTGCAGTCCGGGTTCGATCCTCAGCACCACATACCAACAAAGATGTTGTGTCCGCCAAATACTAAAAAATAAATATTAAAAATTCTCTCTCTCTCTCTCTCTCTCTCTCTCTCACTCTCTCTCCTCTCTCACTCTCTCTTTAAAATAAATAAATAAATAAATAAAAACTGTTGACTGCGATTTCTATCAAAGTGCTCTTTAATCAGTATCAAAATCCAGAAGAGTTTATGCCTTTGAGTCTTATAAATATTTTTCCACCAGCCCACAACCTGGAAATGCAGTGTTGTGTTTGGGGCGTCTCCTGTAGGTTTATGTGGCCCTGCAGCTCGGCAAGCCCAGAGGCCCTCGTCATCACCCATACTTTCTGGGATTCAGTGCTGGGACCTGTGGCTGAAATTCACTAAAACACAAACAAGAGCTAGAAATGAGCACAGCAGGTCAGCACTCCGAGACCCTACACCTTGATGAGGAGCCGATTCTCACAGACCAATTTGGGATGAAAGYAGCATGTCTGTCTTTGTAGGACCTGTTAGCCCGTTGTCAACAAATTGTAGAATTTTTCTTTGCTCACCCTAAAATAGTGATACCTTCAAGGCTTGTGGCATTTTTATCAAAGCTTCTTGGAGTTGGAATTCATCTCTAACAGTGGGCTGTTGAGTGCAATAACCTGTAATGGGGAGAAGATGGTGTTGAGTTTTCTAAGACACGTCACGGAGGGGATGAACCCCCCCCCCCCCCCAGGAGCATGGTGGCGGAGGGCAGTGCCGGCCTGTTTCACTTCCCCAGTAGCAACACAGTCTAACAAAAGGGAAGACATTTGCCCACTCATTCATTTAAAAGACATCTAATTGTGCCAGGCCTGGTGGCACAGACCTGTAATGTCAGCTTCTTGGGATGTCCACTAGTTCGAGTCCAGCCTAGGCAACTTTCAAGATTCTGTCTCAAAATAACTCATTTACGAAAAGGCTTGGGATGTAGCTCAGTAACAGAGCACTTGTCTAGCATGCCAGGCCCTAGGATCAACAGAAGACAGTTGAGTTCCTCCATGATACCAGGGACTGGTCAAGTGCTAGAAACACTGCCACAAACAAAACTGACAAGAATCCTTGCCCCTAGGAGCTGACAAATTGTATAAATAATTAACAGAACTTATTAACATATCAAATACACTATGTAAATAGTCAACAGAATTCAGGGTTCTGGTTTTCTGTAATACTGTGAAAAAAAATATAAAGCTTTGGGCAACATAGGCACTAATTAGAGTCTGATCTCACGGGTGAATCTACTAGCAGGCCATTTTGGATGCCACCCACCTTGCCCTTTCCATCAGACCTACTTTCCCTGGAAAAATCTATTGACGAGCAGAACTAATTGCCTCTAAAAGCTGGGCCACCTTTACCTCCCCTCCTTTTCTGTAACCATGCAAATGTCATTCCCATGGAGGGGCAGAACCACCCGCATTGGTCAGGTTGCCCTTTTAATTCACACTCCTCTGCCCGCTCCACTGGTTCTTCATCCCCACCTGGCAAATGGTGCACCACCTTCAGAATCCCTTCACAGGAAGTCACATGCCCCCTCCTCCAGCGGTCTCCCCCCACTGTCCCYGACAGAGTGACTTTCCTGCCCCTCTTCCTCCCTGTCTCCTGGTGCTGGACACAACTCCCTGCAGCTCGCAGCAGTGTCATTATCTGTTCACTTTCCTTTCTCTCTGACTAGACTTTGAACTCTTTAAACACAAAGATCAAAGCTTTAATTGCCTTCTTGGGTTTKGCATCTCTGTCACATGCCTAGCACGGCGCCTAAGATGAATAAACACATCTTGAAGGAATAAATAAATAGATGATTGTCTCATTAGCAAGGTRAGCTTTCACACACTCTTGCTCCTAACACATACAGCGTGTGCTTCAGGACAAGAGCTTGTCACAGGAGAAAGAGCCTGCTTTCTAAACCCTCCTAGGAAAAAGAAGTTGAGACATCGCTCTAATAAATGAAAAGTTGGGGGAAACAGTCGTTCATTAATGTTGTGAGTGACCCCAAATTGGCTGAGATCTGATGTATTAGTACAATGGRAAAAAAAAAAAAGTCGAATGTGGACTCTCAATGAGCAGAAGGGGATGGACAGGAGAAGGCTGAGACGGAGACCCAGMCCGCACACTTCAGCTCCATGTGGGGTCCTTCCCATGGGCCTCTCTCTGTGGACCCCAGTCTCATGCTCCTTACRGTAGCCTTCCCTGAAGGCTCTGTAGGCATCTCAGCCTTGCTTTACCTCTTTCCCCTCAGACTAGGACAAGATCAGCCCCTCCCCATGGCCTCCCTGGGCAGGCACCTAGGGAGCCAGCTGCCAGGATGAAGGCCATCATACCATCCTCACCGTTCACCTGTGATCCCCACAGTCAGGAAACCCTACTTGCAGAATACTTCTCTATGGCGGGAGGAAAGCTAATGCCATCTTCCTGGTCATCAGCAGGGTCCCTAAGTAATTCCCAATGCCACTTTCCCACATGTGTACTTTACTAAATTTTGAATCTTTGGTAATTCATGATTCATATATAAGATGTTATGCTGCTGGCTCCAGATTTCTTAGAACTTTTAAGATTATTTTTAAAAATAATTGCAAACGAACTTCCTGAGCTTCACACTGCATATGCCTTCTGCTCTCACCGTCCACTCAGGGCAGACCAGGGGCTATTCAGGTTCTCCCAGGACTGACTGCCATTATGGTACCATGAGCGCTGGGAAACCTGAGTGGGCTCTTTCCCCACCCAGCTGCCCATTCACACCGTCAGCTCCACAAAAAAGCAGAGGGCAGAAGAGAAAAGGCCACGAGCCCTTCTCCTTCATGAACACTTTAGGAGCCAGGGCCAGGGGAGAAGTGGGGAATGAATCCCTCTACTCCCACGGGCTCTGCTGGTGAAAAGTGCCGTGTGTTGACATCTCTTGTGCTCAGAGCCCATCCTCAAGAGTCGCACACCAACCGATTCCCAGCTCCACCAGATTCTGGAGTGTGCAGGACAGATGTGGAGACTGAAATGAGCCATGCCCATTTGCTTCTGATTGGAAAAGGGTGGGGTGTTGTTGTGTACCTCACCATTCAGACATTCTTCCTAGTGCTATTTTTACCACAGTAATGATTAAATTGGTGTCAGATGAGCTGGTCCAGTTCCTCGATGAGCCTGGGAGATGGAACTTAGCAGGGTTTTTCCAGGCAAAAGATGCTGTATGTGGCCCAGATGAGCGAGTCTCTGGAAACCTAGGCCTCACAGCCTCAAGGCCCTGGACGGTGTTCCTGTGGCAATTACAGCAAGGCTCATATCCTGCCCACTTGGCTCCTACCAGATCATCTAGTAGACATATGTTGGGCACCATCTCAGTGCCAGCCAGCCAACGAGACACCGGAGATTCACATAAAAATATGATCTCTTACCTTTGAGAAACTTGCATTTCCCCAGAAAGGATTGTCATGAAGGATGTTGTCCACCCGACTGTACCTGYTACAGGTGCCTGAGTAGGACAGAGTGCAGGGAGGATTTGTTTAGCCTGGGTTTGGGGACAGCTTTATGGAGGTGGCAGACTCAGCCAGGGCTTTGAAGATCAGCAGAGCTGCAGATGGAAACAGGGGAAAAGAACTTCTGGGCACAGGAACCAAGGGCTGAAGCATTTTTAAAAGTCTCTGAGCTGGGCACCGGTAATCCTAGTGGGATTGAGGCTGAGGCAGGAGGATCACGAGCTCAAAGCCAGCCTCAGCAACTCAGCAAGGCCCTAAGCAACTTAKTGAGACCCTGTCTCTAAATAGAACATTTTAAAAGGGGGCTGGGGATGTGGCTCAGGGGTTGAGCACCCCTGTGTTCAATTCGTGGTACCAAAATATAATAATAATAATAATAATAATAATAATGATTCACTCAAAACCCAGTTGTGAAGTGGTCACTGAGGGGGCATCTCAGACTCACACCTGCACTGACCCTTGCCTTGGGAGACTGGGATGAAAAGGTCCTGGTGCAGGGGTGCCACCTGGTTTCTGACCCGAGGCTCTGGATTTTGAGCCCTGGGCAGGGCCTCACAGTGGGCAGGCTGGACATTGAAATGCTGAGACATCAGCTAGGGACTCCTGCCATGGTCTTGTGACAGAGAAGTTGACTCCAGGGAGCTCCTAGGTCCCTCACCAGTCACTGAAAGCAAGCATGGATCATTATGTGGAAACTAAGGGCAGAAATTTCTAGATTCTGTATCTCCCARTCTGTATTATAATTCCTATCACTAAATGCCTGGAAATTCAGGGTGAAATTTAACAGAAAGCCAGAGTCGGGCATGACAGGAACCCAGGAGCCAAGTGGCCCTGAGAGATGGCAGAAAGTGCATTTGCAGATGTCCTGCGGTCCAGGGCTTGGTGCTCTGGTTTTCATTTCCTCTGATCAGACATTCCAAACCCCATCCCCCATAAGTCACATGGACATGCAGGCACAGCCCTGCAGGGTGCAGTGRGTGTCCTGTGGCTGGAAGGGCCTCCTCAGTGGGTCAGCAGCCAGCTGGAATAGCCTGGGGCCACCTGTCTTGTCAGAGCCTCTCTGCCATGGGCCTCTTGGAGCCAGGGCTGGCTTTGCGGTCTGACTAAAGTGACAATGAAATTAATCGGATCCTGATGCTGTGACTGAGGCCATTTGCCTGTGTCTCCTAACAGGRATGAGAGAGGAAATGTCATTAGGACGCCAGGAGGCTTTTGAAATCTTCAAGAGGGACCATGCTGACAGCGTTACCATCGATGACAACAAACAGATTCTGAAACAAAGGTAAGGCTGTCTCCGAGAGCAGCTGGCCCCGGGAGGCAGGCCAGGACAGCCTGCAAAATTTGCAGCTCTGTCCTTCCTAATCCGCCCAAGGTAACTTCTGTCAGAAAGGCACAGTGTTCATGGAGATGGGCAGTGAATCCTGTCCAACCTGGTATGATTGTCCTTTGCATGTGTGAGCCTCGTCAAGCCAGTACTGTCAGGGTGAGCAACTCTTAGGAYGGGGGCAGTCGCCAACAGCACTAAYTCTATATACAATTCTCATGCCATACATTAATACTTATTAATTTAGACTTTATCAATGCCTGTTCCAAAGGCAGGGGRAAAAAATCGATGGTCCAAGCTATATGCTTAGAACCCCAGGTGTTGCCGATGGCTGTCCTGTACTTCTTAGTCAAAGGAAATAGATGCACATCTCATGACTCAGGGCCTGTGGTACATTCTCTAGACCACAGTTGGAGCAGACAGCTAAGATTCTGGACCCCAGTAGAAAAACTTTATAGATACATAATTTGCTGAAGCTAGTCTGTGAGTTAGACACATCCAGACTGAGAACTTTTATAGATCATAGGCATCTCTGGATCTCGGCACACAGTACATTTTCAACCAGATTCGTTGAATTAAAATGAGATCCAGGTTTGAGAGGCATCTGCTTCTTGATGACAATTCAAGGAAGTCTGAGAAGTAGGGGAGAACTTGTGGCAGTTTGAGTACCCAGCAGAGGGGAAAGCTTTAAAGGAAGGGTAGAGGGAAAGGAGGCCTAAGAAGAAGCAGAGAGAGGAGAGAACCAGGAGAAAGTGGTGTCCTGAGAGCCAAAAGGAGAGACAGCTCTGAGAAGGAGTGTTGTCAGTGGAGTCAGATGGTAGGAGGTGGGACGCATCTTGGCATCTAGATGACCACCAGGAGGAGGGCTGGGTTGAAGGATCAGGATGAGAAGAAATTGAGGGACTCGTGCATTCCTGGGCCGGGGTGCAGYTCAGCRGCAGMGCACTTGTCCAACACACCTGAAGCCTTGRGTTCCATCCTTAGCACCGAAAAAGAAAACRCATTCAAAAGTTTTGTACTGGATGAAAGACACTTTTTTGAAAAGGRGTGGAGGGGCTTAAGGAGAAGTGAAGCTGGTTTCAGAATGGCGGGGAGTGGCCAAGCTTAGGCCACTGAAGCTAGCCAGTGACCAAGAGAGGTTAAGACACAAGGAGAGGCGCCAAGGCAGCAAGGCTTCTGGAAGACAGGTAGGAAGGGAATCCTAAGCTSGGGGGCTCAGCCCTCGAGGGAGCAGGAAGAGAAAACCAGTCAAGACCAGGCCAACGYTGGTACACTTAGCAGTAGAGGGAGGAAAGTAAGTGACCTCTGTTTTCTCTGTGACAAAGAAGTTGGTAGAGTGACATCCTGAGGATGGAGATGAAGAGCCCAGGCAGCCGCCACAGGGAGTGGGCGGAAGGCAGGCAGGGAGGAGGAAAAGCAGAGGCAGACAGCCCTGGGTCCCAGGGCCCGGCCAACACGGTTCTGATGGCCGTCACACTTGAGCAGGGGCAAAGATCGGATGGCTTCAGGACTCCAGGGGTGGTGACAGGGGTACGGTCATTCTGGAAAGCAGTCCAGCTGTCTCAGTCAAAAAGTCTGTAACCCTGTGACCCAACAGCTCCCAAGACGTGCTCTGCTGGCTCCCAAGGGGACACACGTGAGGGTGCTTACAGCCACGTTGCTGGCAGCCGAGGAAAGTGGACACACTCTGAGTGCCCCTCACTGAGATCCTGGGAAACCCGTGGATTAGCCCGCAGCACGTGGGATGTGGACTAGATGGTCACATGCCAGTGGAATCGAGCTTGACAGCACACCCCGGGTGGGAACACAGCTCCTGTCAATCACAAATATACACCCAGCACGCAGAAACGCACGCTGCCGTGTCCTTCACCACAGCGCCGGAGCCGAGCAGTGGACTTGAAAGGAAGGGAAGAATAAATTAACAAAACCAGGGAATCGGGGAGGGAGAGAGAACGAATCTCGTGAAAGCTGAGGGCGCTCTCCCAAGCAGAGAAGGGCACAGGCACAGACCTGAGCATGGCCACAAGGTCCTCACAAACCTCACGGTGCTATCCCACCTGTAAGCCATGTCTCTGTGATGTGGCCAGCTAGACAGCGCAGAGCCGGACCCCTCCCTTGTCTGTCTGAAGATGAACATGTCAACCACATGACAACTGCCTCCTCCGGTCGCGACCTCCAAGAGCCCTCAGTTGTGTCCATGCCCGTGTGGATCCTTGGCTCACACCATGGCTCACAATCCTGGCTTCACATTAAAATGACCCGCAGAGCTCTCAAGGCCTTCCAAAACCTGGGCTGCACTCCCAGCTCTTCAGATTTAATTACTTGGGGTCTGAGCATCCCTTTTAAAAAGTGGGTTCCAGTAACAGCCAGATCTGAAAACCACTGACTTAGACTGTGGTTGGAGACCTTGAAATCCAGAACCTCAGAGGTAGTATCCCTCAAACTCTACAGATTAAAAAATCTACCGACTCTTCACCTTTTGAGGTGCATGCATTTCATTTGGTCCCTTGCCACATCTTCTCATGAGACCTTCAGGATCAAACGATTCCTGGCAAAGAAACAAAGCAAAGTTAGCCCAATCCCCAAGGGATTCATATGAAATATGAAATGGTCATAAAAATCAGGTACAATCCCAAGAGGGGACACTGGAGGAGAACCAAGCTGCATCTGTAAGGAATTACACATGAAATGGCACATACGGTTACTCTGTATCACAGTCACGATCATCTTACCAGGTCAATCTGAAAATGTCACCACTGTTGGGACAGTTGGGCATGTTTAACTGGAAATCTCGTTTTTGTTTTTGTTTTTGTTTTTGTTTTTGTTTTAGCTATGAGGGTACTGGAGTACTGGTTTTGGTTGATTCAATAATAAATATGCAAAACTTTTGGGAAAAAAAAACTATCATTTGATTCTTATATGTTCAAGTTTAAGAATCACTGACATAAGAAGAACACATGCTTTGTCTTTCTTACACTACAACAGGCCTGGTGCCTGAATTAAATTATTAGATATTATATAATATCTAATATATAATTAAATTATTAGATATTATATACTCATAGCTACTTAAGGCAGGGAACCAAGAGAAAATGTCTTCATAATAAAAACATGCAGGAGGCACGTGATCCAAGCCTGCTGACTCCCGATCCGGGGGCTCTGCCTGTGTGCGCATGCTTCCTCACAAGCCTGGCTGCTTTTAGTMGACGCATATTTATGGAACACTTACCAAGTGTGAGCCCCTGTTCTAAGTTTCACYTGAGTCTGGGTCTATTTCCAGTGGGGAGTAGGAGGGTGGGGCAGGATGAGCATGTCATGGTCTCACCAAGGCTTCTGATCAATACAGAGCCAACCGAACTCTAGTGGTAGGGTTCTGACAACCCAGGCAACAAACGTGTTTGGGGATTAAGCATATGGAGGTCACTCAGGAGAGCTGCAACACTAGTGATCCCATCGTGCCCCTGGCTGCCCTGCAAGGGAATTAATTAGACTCACCAAGCTTTACTCTGCAAAGAGGTTTTCCCAGCAGCAAATCAGGCTTTTTAAATCAAATGAAAAGTCAGGAGACCGGCCCACATTTTTAAAAATTTTTACATCTATTTAATGTTACTATGATACCAATCATTAAGGGACTATTTCATAGCCAGGGGTAGGAAAGTGCAATCCAGATCCTACTCTTTACTCAGGCTTGGTGCTTTTGTTTGCCCTCATGGAGATTATTCGATTATTAGATATTATATACTCATAGCTACTTAAGGCAGGGAACCAAGAGAAAATGTCTTCATAATAAAATCTGCACAGCCCGCGATCCAACAGCAGGCACCAAAATAAAGCTCCCAGGTGATCAGGGTGCCCTGGAGGAAGGCTTTTCCAATAGCCCTGACCCCTTCCACTCTGCTCCTGGGTGGACATCTGTTGGCCAGTCCTAGAAAGAGACACAGGCCAGAGGGGCTTGGCTAGGGAGGACACTCAGTCACTTCCCTGACTCTACTCTGTCTCACTTTTCTAAAGCCCTCAGCAAGCAGGGCCCCAGCTCAGCCTCCCGTCTCCCCTTCTCACAGGGGTGACTGTGGTCTGATGGATTTCTGTGTTCTGATGTCTCAGTTGGCAAAATGCACAGAAGAGGGCCTGGAATTAATCACCCCYATTCAAAAGTCTCTCTAGGCCATAGCAAGCAGGTTCTAATGCCCCAGGTAGGGATTGGATTATTGGTGACCCACAATGCTGATTCTCTCCACTCCCTTAGAGTACAAGAACTGATTCCAAATTGCACAAGGGGAAAATGAATGGCTTGTGCATTCCATGACACTTAATAGAAGGGTTTTTCTTCCCTTTTTACCTGAATACTTTGCTACACGGAACTCTGGCCCCCAGTCTGGGGGCAGTTGTGCTGCCTATCTGTGACACAGAAATAAGATGTTGGCGTGTTGGTAGGATGTTCGCCCTTCAATGAACAAGAGCATGAGAGCCAATTCTTCTGAGAGATTTTTYAGTAGAGGACAATTGCAATTCACAGTCACTACATTTTCCAGGCATGACTCATCCTCATGGTGTATAATGAAATGGAGAGAGGCTGGTGACCCCTTGCTTGGCAAATATCAGTGCCCAGGCAACACACAGTGAAGTTTCTTTTGTGGCAAATCCTTCATACAATCTGAATCCCCAGACACCGAGTCTCAATAAATAGCAAAAGAGGTAATGAACAGGGAGATTAGCTGCAATGGGAAATAAAGGCGTTGATAATGTGAACTAAGCCAAGAAAAGCGCCCCTTCACTCAGTTGGATCCTCCCAACATAAAATAGAACACCAATCGAAAGCCAACAGGAACACTGGGCTGAGGGCGGAGGGGAATCTTGGGCACCATCTGGAAATAACACCGTGGCAAATAGGAGGTAGGCGGCTCCTGTTAAGCTTCAATTTTAACCTTTATTGTTTTCCCACTTGTTTTTTGTATTTA